TACGATCTTCTGTATGATTATCATCAGTATAGACCTGTATAGCATCTTTAGGAACACAACAAATGATTTCCAGAGCAAACTATTTTATACGATCTTCAAGATGAGTTTGCTTGTTTGAAGAATAATTCAAATCAAAGTGGAAGAGAACTCTTGACAGTCCCTCTGAGAGATCAATACAAGATCTCAAAGACACAGATTCAAACTCACGAGAGATTAGGTTTTGAGTTCCCACCAAGCTAAAGGGACTGTATTTCTTTAGCCTTTGATTTTTTTGACAAGTGTGCAAATACAGAGAGTAGAGGGACCATAGCTGTAGATTTTATTGAAGTATTTGACTAGATTGACTGTTTTTAAATGTAGTGGTAGTGAGTTTATCTCATATAAGGCTATAGTAGAAGAGCAGCTATTTCTAAGTCCTAAAATAATGCGAGCGGAACTCTGCTGTACACGTCGTTCCAGTTTCTGAAGCTTGGTTTCAGATGCACAGAAGTAAATTGGGTAGCCATATTACAAAATGGGTCTTACTAGCGAAATGTATGCTGTTTCATGTGTGGCCGCATTCGCCTTCCAGTCTCTGCCAGCTTTATACTTAAAAATGTGGATGCGTTTTCGGGCTTTCAAAACGAAATTTTCTGTATATTTATCGCTGTTGAATTCGAGATCAAGAATGAATCCTAGATTCTTGGAATGTTTTTCATATTTGAGAGCCTGATCATTGATTTATAGTTGTATAGATGCTTATTGGTAGTGAAGACAGTCGCTATGGATTTTGCTGCATTGAAATTCAATTTGTGATCTTTTGCGAACACAGAGAGGGCAATCAAAGTGGTATTAAGGAGTGTTTCAATGTTAGTCGCATTAGGGCCAGAGTTCCAAAGTACAACATCGTCAGGAAAGATAACTATATCAAAAGATTTCGGCATGATTTTTCTTCACTACAGCCAAACAATAAGAAACAAGTAGGACTTAAGACAAAGCCCTGAGGTAGATCTTGGCCCAGTTTAAAAGAGTCTAAAAAGGTTTTTTTCCTTTAATTTCACTTTAGTGGATATGTGTTGCAAAAAACAACAATCCAAACCAAGGCAATACCTCCAAAAATGAAGAAGTCATTTAGTTTAACACTAAGCTTGTCCTTCCAAACAGTATCGAAGGCTTTCGATAAGTCAAAGAAAGCTGCCACAGTATGTTGAATTGGTTTAAAATTTTGAGAACGTCCTTTATCTTTTGACAAAAGTATAGAACCAGATCTGTGACCTTTTTTAAAATCCATCTTATTCAGGTGGCAATGGATGATTGGAATCCAGAAAATAATGAAGTCCTTTTTTTCACTGCCCTCTTGGGAAATGTCCTGCATCATACAGGCATCGGAATTGCAGATTTGTTAGCCCGTTATCCAGGGGCACCATATTAGGTGGGCAACGTTGCTCCCACTGTAAGAACATATAGTACAAAGAATGAAAGAACATCCATGTCTTGCCCGGGATTCAAACCCAGAACCTTTCTGGTGCAAGGCCAGTTCCCTGACCCCTGCACCGGCCGGTTGGCAAATAATGAAGTTTTGCAAGGATAATTTTTTCCATTTGTTTACAAGTCATACTGGTTAGTGCTATAGGTCTATAACTCTCTAATCTTAAACAGTCATATACAGGTTGCGTCTTTGACTGTTTTTTTGATGGGAATAATTTACAGACTAACTGATTTCTGCCCTATAGCGGTATTATATCTACCTAGATAATATGCAAAATTGTTAATTTTTGAGCAATAGCGGTATTATATCTACCTAGATAATCTGCAAAATTACTAATTTTTGAGCTATAGCGGTATTATATCTACCTAGATAATCTGCAAAATTATTAATTTTTGAGCTATAGCGGTATTACTTCTACCCAGATAATCTGCAAAATTATTCATTTTTGAGCTATAGCTGTATTATATCTACCTAGATAATCTGCAAAATTATTAATTTTTGAGCTATAGCGGTATTATTTCTACCTAGATAATCTGCAAAATTATTAATTTTTGNTAGAAGAATTTTTGAGCTATAGCGGTATTATTTCTACCCAGGTAATCTGGAGAATAACTGATTTCTGCACAAAAAGGGGTATTACATGTAACTAGATTATCTGCAGAATAAATTATTTCCGTCCTACAGCGATATTATAGCTACCTCATTATCAGAGTAACTGATTTTTGCACTATAACGGTTTTATATCTACTCCCATAAATTTTGACGTTCAAATGCTGGAATCTCGTTAAGCATATAGACTGTTTTATCGATAAGATAAACAAGTCAACTAATTAGTATTTTTCTGTTATTTAAATCTCTTAGATTTTCATTGTTACCAACAGATCTAATCAACCCTTTTGGGCGAAGTTTCCAAACTTTTTTATCATCACCTCCCTACTCTAATCGACCTAGTATCTTTTTCAAAGCCACGAATGAGTAGTCCTCGTTTTCCTTTACTCTTTAAATGATTGAATCTCGGGTGAGTAAAGTCAATCAACAAACTTTCTCATTATTTGTCTTCTACGAAGAAGAAGAAGTATTTGGAGCAAATGGGAATCCATGATAACAGCCATTACGATTTAGGATGTACGCTTCATTTCATTTTTTATCACCATTATTTATCCCCACCCAACTAAATGACTTAAAGTGAAGGGAAAATATTTCTCCAAGGCGATAAAGTAAGAATTCATATTCTTTCAATGAGCCACGCAACTGTGCCGATCATTTTGTTTTGAGAGAGGGAAAACAGAAAGAGAATTTTCCCCATGGGGATTTTAACGCGGCGCCTTAGTATCATTACCCACATATTTTACATGTCAGGGTGGAAGTATAACCGGGAATTGGCTAATTTGTTCATGAGAAACTTTTCTCAGTCTTAAATGATGCTTATTTGTAAGTATTTTTCTAGTTTTATTGTATTTTTTAATAAATGATGCATTCTCAATCAGTGGGAAAATATTAAAAGATGATTTAGTGTTAACATTATTTTAAATTTAGTCCCCAACTGTTTTATTGTCCAAGGGAAAGCTTATTTTAGGTCTAAATTTAATCTATTATTCAATAATTTTTTTTTCCAATAAAATCATAATAAGGGATATCTTACTTGCATGTTTGTCTCATAAAAACAGTAAAATTTATATGTAATGGAACAAAAATTTAAATATATTAAAAAGTAATGTTTTGGCATTTTTAAAATAATTGTCTTTAATTACTGCCTTAGTACATCAAGTACGCCAGCAGCCTTAAATACAATTTAAATATAATAATAAAGAATCAAAAAACGCATTTTATTTTATTTATATATTTTGATTTATTGATTATATTTTCACTTAGTTGTATGTAACCTTGATGATTTGAAGGGTGTGCTTAATTTTTGTCAGATGTTAACTAAATCGTGCGTGTTTTGAGAGACGAAATCTGGAAAAAATAACTTCGTTGCACAAACTTGCAATTTATTTTAGCGAAATTAGAATTTTAATTCGTCAAAACAGGTACGGGGAAGCACAAATCTAGAAAATATAGTTCCAATAGATTTTCAAGAAAGTATAGTCAAAAGTTAATCCTGTATTTCACAATTTCTAATTTTGAAAATTTTTCCATGTTTTTGAAATAAGCTTTAAGAAAACTAAAAGATTTTCTAAGAAATTATTATAAAACTAGTTTATCCAAAGATAATTTTACTCAATAAATAATTTCTATAAATAATTTCAATCTATAATTGTTGCTTAATTTTACTCATATAAGCAGTGATTTAAAAAAAATCATTAAAATTTAAGGTATGCAGAGACAACTTTATTTAAGACAAAATCCAATGTTTAAAAAGACTGAATAAATAGAATTTAATTTGAAAAAGGAGTTTGAAATTGAAATTAAGATATTTTTTGAGCATTTATAGCATAAACTTTATTTGATGTTTCAAAATTTCTATTTTGCTCTTTAAAAATCATAAACCCGTATCCATCAGTAAAAAGTATTTTCATTATGAAGAAATGCATTTCTGTGTTTTATTTTGTGTTATAAATTTGTTGGCTCAAGTGCTAGAAATTTCGTGAAAAATGGCTAAATAACAATTTATTTAATTGTTATTCTGCCATATTCAAACAAAACAGTCAAATGACCCATAAATAAGATGGAATCAAAATTTCAACTGTGAGGAAAACCGTTTATTAACGGTTTTTACATAATACGGTAAATCAACCAGAATTTTATCTCACTAACTAAAACCCTCACTGAAACTATTCAGTCTTTTGCAACTGTGTACATATTATAGCTGAGAGGGCTAATCTGTCTACTTGTGACCAATACAACGGGAGTTAAAGTCCCAGCTTTTCTCACCGCAACATTTCCTCCTTAATCTTCAACACTTGAAGAGTTTCCAATGTCTTGTACTCCCCCATTTGTAACACTGAACAATTTGAACGTGATACCTTTATTCACACATAGATGGCAGCACCAAACAACCGCTTAGCAAAAAAAGTTTATTTTTTCCATCTCTTACGCTAGGTGAAACAACCAGATCTAATTAAGTAGCTATCTATGGTTAAGCCTAGCTCCAACTTAATTTCTTTTTTGCGATTTTGAAACATTTCTGGTAATAAATAGTTAAAAAAACCGTAGAGTTTAGTATTCAATATTTTTTTAGCCATACTAATTGCAAACGTTTTACTAAATCGTAAAGGTGCGAAAGTGTTCTTTACCGTAAACTTTACTATTAATTAGATGGGAAGATTGCTTCCAGGTATTTCACCGCAATTTTAGAATGAAAATTCTAACAGTGTAAAAGTCAGCCTGCGTGTTTAAACTGCTCTTCCGTTTTTCGAATTTCTAATTATTATTGTACTCGGAAAGAGATTCTTAAAAGTTTTTTTTTAAGATTTTATTTCCAGTTGTATATACATGATATATAACGGATATATCAGGTATATACAACTATGATAATTAGATATCATATATAATAATTAGATAATGACAATTAGATATCATATATCTATACCTGATATCCTTCTCTTGACTGCCACCACAGCTGCAGTGATAACAAGGAAAACCATTAGAATGACAAGACCTCCCGCTACTCCTGCTACAATGATCAAGTTTTCTTCTTGTAACACCCAACCAGATGGAGCTGGAAAAGTATATACATGACTAAAAGAATGTAAAATAATAGAAGTATATAAAAAAATTAAAGTATATACACAAGTATACATTAGACTTTTTTACTAATCGAAATTTAGGCAATTTTCGTTATAATTTTCCTGTTTACTCACGATTTTTAATATTTGTATGCGTAATAGAATTAAAAAACGCGATAATTTATTATTTTTGGATAAAAGTTGCGCATTTTTGATTAGTTCATATTCACTGCAATATTTCATATTATACTAAATGAGGTAATAAGGGGTGTTCCAAAATTAAAGCAAGACTTGAATTTGCCTCCATTTTTGCAACCCTGATAAAAGAACAATTTTGCAGCAGAGAGTTTAGTGTTAGTGGAGTGTACAATGTGTATATGGATTGTACAAGACAGTGCCTCATGCCATACAGTCAGTGAAACAATTCAATTTCTGCATGACACATTTCCTGGTCGTGTACTCTCTCGTTTCGGTGTTCGGAATTGGGGGGGGGTTTATTTGAAATCAAAGGCCTATGTGAACAACCCCACAACCACCCGTGCATTAAGAGAGAAAATTAAACGCTGCATCAACGAAATTCAGCCACAATTATGCAGAAAGGTCATGAAAAATTGGACAAAATTGTGCGTATGTGGCAGCAAAGCTGTAGAGGCCATTTCCCAATGTGTTATTCTAAATAACCCTATTTTATGTACTTTATGATTCAATGAAAAAATAACAATCTAAAGACTAAAAACTGTGTTTTCAATTTAATTCAAACCTTTCGTTAATTTTGGAACACCCTTTATGCATACACCAGATTATAAAAATTCTTTTGGAAAATGAAATTGCAAACAATTTCTAGTCTTATTCCTGATATGTACTTGTGTATAAAATAAGAATCTGTTTGAAAAAAAAGATATGTTTCATTTATAGTTAAAATAAAAAGTTAAATCACAAAAAAGAGTCGCTAAAAACTGAAGTCAAACATATTAAATATGCGTATGCGTTGTAAAAAAAGGAAGATAATAAAAATTGAGATTTCACACTCTTTAGTGGAAACAATAAAAAAAACACTTTCAAGCTCATTCATTGCAGTCTTGTTTAACCATTTACAGCTTCCAAAACAAATAAGTTTCTTTTTTTAAAATTTAGTTAAACAAAGAAGAGCTTAAAATGAGAGGAATTTTCTACCCATTACGTAAACTGAGGAATGAATATTTAATGAGGATAAAAAAAAACGCTTTCGAATAGTTGAAAATAGGAAAGCATTAGTCTATAAGGGAAAAAGAGATATAAATAAACTTGAAGCTATTAAACAAAATGGAAGTGTAATCTTTGATATTAAATTAGTCATTTGCTTATAATGGAAAACGAAGCTTTCAAAAAAAACTTGTTTGCGAACATAATTTTCTTTTTCATCTCATATTTAAGAATCTCATAATTGTATTTTTGAATTTTCGTTTATCCAAAAACATTAACGAATTTTTTCCTTTGATTGTGCATTTATACATTTGCAATTTTGTAATATAAAAATGATGTCATTTATATTTTTTAGTTACGGATGAAACTGTTTTACTTTCATTAAAAATGAAAGAAAATTTTTAAAAACAGCCATTTTTTACCTCTAATAATATCAATACTCAGCCATGCGGTCTCAATAGATGTCTATATTTACGAAAGTGTTGCAGAATTCTGTGAATGAATTGATTTTATACAATAATATAAATGTTTTTCGAAAGATGTAAAACAAAAAAATAATTATTCCGATTTGAATTTTGATTAAAGAAGCTAAACTCATTCAAATTCATAAAATTTTATAGGGTAAAAAGCACATTCTAAAATAAGTATTCTCAAAATTGAGCAAAAATGTGTCAAAATAGCTCCGAAGCAAATAATAGACGAATTTGAAACCTCAATTTATTCAGAACTAAAACTTATTTCCAATTTTACTGGTGCAAAGGCTTGCAGCGTTAAAAATATGTTCCCAATAGCTTAGCCAGGAGATCAATAATTTTTATTTCACTCCTTGCCTATTTCGCTACAACTTAAAAACTTTTAAGTGAATGAAATGTATGTTATGACGTGTTATTGTGGCAGTCACTATATAAAGCTTCCTAATACTCCCTGGAATTTGGTATCCAAATATGGTGGTTAGAGAATCCTGCTATAAGCCCGGAGGTTCTAGGTTTGAATCCCACAGGTAGCCAAAGGACATCTCTTTCCCTCTACATCCCTTTTGAGACTACGTTTTTTTCAAACATAAGTATATGGTCTTTCAATATTCAGAATGCATGGAGTTTTCAAATTCAGAAAGTATTATTGTATATCTAATATTATTATATACAATATTCAAAATATTATTTGCTTCGGAGCTATTTTACACATTTTTGCTCATTTTTGTCACAGTGCAGGTGACGTAATAAATTAAGTATGAAATTATATTATGATAAGGACTGCTCATTGCTCATTACATATTAAAAAATTATATTATTATTGTTGAAAAGGCAATTATGAAGCTCTAAAGTTCAAAAGAGATTATTCTTCAAAACTGTTTACATAATAGCCATTTTTGACAAAATGAGTATTTAATAATGAATATGGTTAATTTAGAAAACGAAAAGGAACGTGCTATTTAAAGGGCATAGAACTATTCGGAAAAATTAGAAAATTTTGTTAACGGCTACTGACCAGTAATAGAATTTTTAATTGTGTGCACTTTTTTAAAATGTGTGGCCACTATTTTAGAATTCTAAATTACAAGAAAAGCTATTAATTTTTTTTAATGCAAAACATTTATGAAAGACTTGAGAACACTACAGACAGGGTTTATTTCTAAAATAAGGAAAATTTTTCCCAACCACTTTAGTTCGGTTTATGTAAAAATTAGGTAATGTATGTAACGTTTTCAATTAATAAAATTTAGGTTCGAGTTTTTGAACAAATAACGTAACATGGAAATTTAACGTAAATCATTGCAAAATAAATCTGAAATAACTATATTCATGATGGTGAAAGTATATTCATTAGACTACTTTAAAATATTATCTTCAATAATTAAAAAGAAAAGTAACTAATTAACTTGAATTCAATAGAAATTTTGATAACCAAATTTTGCCCCAACGAAATTTTGGATGGCCAAATTCTTATCCAAAGAAAATTTAAACCATAGTAAAATAACCTGAAAGTTCGGGAGATATTACAACTTTTTCATTCAATAACTAGCATATATAATGTGTTTAACGTAGGCATACGTAATGTGTTAAACTAACTAATTTTTAATCGTCATTTTTTACATTTAGTCACCCTCTCGTTGATGGTGACAGTTAATTTTCCCCTATTTGGAAAATTAAAAGTAGACAAAAATCTCAGTCTATTGAAGCGAGAAGGCATAGACTAATTCGTTGGTATTGAAAGACATGTAATAAACAGTTAGTTGTACGATGTAATAAGTAGAGGAGGTGGGTGTGGCAGGCGTCAATAAATTGGTAAATACTAAAATTAACGTAAAATCTAAAAGTTTAAAAGTGAGTTGAATAATTTAATAACGACAAAACAAAGAAAAAGATTGATGTAAAAAATATTTAGTATAGTTTTGTTCAAGTAAACCATATACGTAAAAACATGAGTCCAAAATGAATTGTCCAAATAACATCCCAATTAAATTAGAACTAGTCCAAAATAATATCAATTATGCCAAATGAATTTTTAAAGTAAAAAATGACTTAACTAAAAAATTTAAAATAAAAGAGAAATGATCACAATTTAAAATATAAGTTGTTAAATCATATCGATTAAGCGAAAAAAATTTAAGTCTGTATATCTTTGCTAATCCCATGCGTCTTGGTAATTGCCACTCGTTTCTGGGTTGGCCGACTCTATGGAATTGCCGATTGATTGATGTCTAGACAGTGACCCAAGGGTTCATTCGGTTTGCATGTTTACCGAGGAATCGATAAATTTCTGTGATTTGAAACTGTGCATATAAAAGAACTAAATTGATATTAGTTGAAGTAAATTCCAGAAATATAGTTGAAACCCCACGATGCGCGTTTTACTAATTTTAAATCATAAAGACAAAATGGTAATTAGACACGTTTCTCAAATAATAAACAAGGCTTCTGTGAGTTGTTTATAAATGGTTATTTATTTATTTATTTTTTTACCAAAATCTCCTTTCTTATTCTTAGAAATCAGTGGAAAATTAACAAAGACAGTTTTTGTACAGACAAACGTCGCATATAATGGTTCTTGAATTTTGCATTAATTTACAAGGAGTTGTAGAAAGACAATATATTTTTAGAATTGATTTCCTCTCGAAAAAAAAATTGTCAGAGTAGAAAGTCAAATGAAAAAAGAATTTAATTTAAAAAATAGTATTACAAATAATTTGAACATTTTTGATATGGCAAAAATATAATACTGTTTATATTATACCATGCTCTAAATTTAATTCAAATCTATTTAATGTTATAAAGAGACGACACAGACAAATTTACAACTCATTTTACAACTCATTGCAGTTTTGCTTATATCATTCTAAGTTCAATCAAAGATTAAAAAAAAAAAGTAAAGCGTCTTATTTTAAACACAAGAATAAGAGCGATCACAGTAAATTTCCCCTACCTTAAAGTATAAATGTTTTTTTAAAGAGATATGAAAATGGGGGGAAATCCTTTCAACATGTTAATTAGCTTTTAAATCCACCCCAGGGTAGCGATCGGAAATATCTCTTATGAATAAAACATCAGGGAATTCCTGCCAAGATGCCAGATTCCAACGAAACAAATAACTTCCCTCGCCAAATATTTATGGGTTAAAGAAAAAAAAATTATGAATGAGGGGATAAGTAGATACAAATAAATGGAATTTTGATATTAAAAGGAATGGAGGGATAGAGATATTCTAATCACGTGCTCTGTAAATGAGAATGCTATTCAGAGAACTTCATTAAGAGTCATATGTCTGCTGTACTTTTTGTGAGAAAACCATTTTGTTTACAATACACGTGACA